TTTTTTTTTTCTTTTCAAGAGTATTGCACTTTGGGATGGTAATTGAAGTGTGCCATCAAAACCTTGACTCATTTTAAAAAAGGAGGTGGAATATATGTAAAATGCAGATTTGAATAGTCTACATTTGTAAGCCTAGCACGCAATCAAACCCGTTCATTTTGTATTTCTTTTTCCTCCCTCCTCCCTCTCTGCCATAATCATCGGGAAAGATTATGGATAAGTCAAGTCAAAGAAAAGGTTTTGACTAGCAGCGTTAAGTGAACGCTTATATTTTTCATGAAGCACGCTCTTAAATAGCACATAGGACTGGATATTGTTAGCAAAAGCAGGCATCAATACAGTTGTCACTCGTTCTCTTTTGCAAGTCTAATGCTAATTCACATCTCCGGGTATTGTATGCACAGGCAGACCTTTGCAACAGAATAACCTTCTCGGGGAGCTCAAGGCTCCCGAGGAGGAAACCACCGCTTAGCACCAGAAGGCTAGGGTTTTGGAGGGCATACAGGCGAATTCAGACACAAGGTACGATCAGTCTCCCGAAGATCAGAACCGACAGCAAGCATGCAGGCGTGGCGGCAACAAGGAAAAAAAAAAAAAAAAAAAAAAAAAAGCCACCTTTTCTCTCTCCAGGCAATGACTCCAACTCTGAAGAGCTCTTGGCACCCGTGCCTGAGAGAGACCCGCGCACAAGAACAGCACACCGAGCCCCACAAGGTAAAATAGCCTCTTACTTTTTGGTGGATCGCCCATGTCTCCCATATCTGTAAGAGGGAGTAATGTCCACAGTGAAATGGTGGTTGTACAGTTGGTGAACAGCCCTCAGAGAGGATGCTGGAGCTGTGGCTAAGTGGGAAATAGTGGCCCCTGGGGTTGCCAAGGCTGAGAGAGCCGCTGCCCGGCTGCGCCGCGCCCTCGCGGAGCTGGGAGTCCAGTTTAAGCCGGCGGAGTTGGCGGAGCAGAGGCGCTGCGGCGGCGGCGGACTCGACGCGGCTCGGGCACCTCTCTTCCTTATCTCTTACTCAAACTTCTCTGCTCCAACTCAGCTCCATCGCCATTGGTCTGACGCAGCGCGCGGGGACGTCAGGCGAGCGCCGCGCCCATTGGCTGCGGGGCGCGCGGCGCAGCTGTTCTGATTATCATATTTCAGCTTCGCCGCCGCCGTGCGCCACTGACCGCTCGGCGAGCCCGCGGGAGAGGATTAGGGCTCCCGAGGCAACTTGCTCCGGGCTCAGGCCGCTCTCTCCCCCGAAACTCGGGCTGCCTGGCTGCTCTGGCTTCTGGCCTGCCTCTCCTTCTCCTGCTCCTCCTCCTGTCCCCCTCCCTCGCTCCTTCCCGGCCGTGCCGCCAGCGCCCTCGCCTCCTGTCGCGCTGCTCCTCCGCCCTGCGCTCCTGGGGTCCCCGCAATCCGGCTGGCCGTGCTGCGCGCGGGGCACTTTTCTGCCGCCGGTGGCGAGTGGCTGGTGGGTAGGTCTTCCTGATGACGAGGTCCTTCCAGAACTCTAGGAAAAGGGGCGTCTTGGAATAGGCCGTTTGGCTTGGTTTCGTCTGGCGCTGTGGCGCGCAGCTCCGGGCCCGGCTCGGCTTTGCTGCTGGGGAGGGTGAGTTCCCGGATCCGCTGCGCCTGGCGCGCTGGGAGCTGCCTACTGGGAGAAGAACCGGGAATCGGATGACTAGACACACCGGAATTGTTTTCTACTGCTACCCCAAACCCCGTTAACCACCGACCTCAGATCTCCAAAAAGCTGGGGGGTGGGGGGGTGGGGAGGAAAAAGAGCGCTTGTTGCCTTAGCGGAGAATCAGGTTGGGAGTACGCAGGTAAAACCAAGTTGACTCCGCGGACTCCTCTCTCTTCTTCCGACCCTTGAGGTCTATCTACTTTTGCAGTTTAACTCTAGCATTTGGAAGCGCACTAACCCGAAGTCAAAGAGTGAAATGATCTTCCAGTAGTTGGAAGTTTGTAAAGCGGTTATATATATCCTGTCCAGGTCCTCTCCCTGCTGGTCTCCTGCCCTTTGTTTTTAAGCAGACGTGTGCAGTTTTGTTGGTGGTGTTTCGGTAATTATAAGGACAGGTCTCCATGTCTTTAGAGATTAAAAAAAAAATGTGTTAGTTTAAGGGCGTGAATAGGGAGGGATCGAATACTGGAGAGCGGTGAAATACCTATTTCACTTCACCAGGTTTGTTTATCTAATACTTTTCTCTCGGGGAAACAACCTGGAGAGAGAAGAATGTTGGCTCGCCGGTAACCTTTTTCAATAATTTCTGACATGTTCTCATCACCCTTTACAGTCTTCCAAAAGCAAAGTCACAGGAAAGGCCACGAAGAACACCCCCACACCCACAAGTCTCCCAAAGCTTCTAAATAGCGATTCCTTATCTAATGTGACCGCCAGTTTTCTCTTAAAAGGTCCACAAACCCAAACAGTAAAAGGCTTAATTTCAGTGTCTTGCTGCTGGGAGAAAACCCAGTTTGTGAGGAAACTCCTTTCTTTGTACTTTTCGCCAGATTTAACCCTTGATAAGAGCTGTGAGCTCTCAACTGGCCTCCATGGCTTGGTTTGCACGGTTATGCGTTTCCTGAGCACAGATGGAAGCTAAGATGTTTGAGTTTTCTCCTGACCTAGCTGGATTTTACCAAGAACACATAATCTGTTTCGTTTTGTTTTCTCTCAAGAAAGAGTTTTAACTGCATCTCATGCCTTCTATTTTTATTGTAAGTTTTAAAGTTATATCAGAGTATGTGTGTGAAATTGAAAGTTGGAATAGACATAGGTTGATAAATTTATCAGGTTTTTGTTTAAAAATCTGTTTTGTTTAAAGTTTCTAATCTCTGGTATTATGTGCATGGAGCCTTTTGTCAGGCCGCTTTTGCAAAACTGATGCTGGTAATCAAAACACCAGCAAGTCTTCCCGATATAAGGGCATGTTTCCCTTATAGATAACCAAGTTGACTCTAGTTTAAAAAAAAAAAAGAGAGAGAGAGAGAGAGAAAGATACCACTATAATGCCAGAAAGTAAATAGGGGATTTTAACCAATCGTATTCCATCATGCTGCCTTTATAACATGGAATTAAACAGAAGCTACCAGAAGCCTGATGACATATTTGAGATCCACAAAGCGCCTTCACTATCCATCCCTCTTCAAACCAGTCACACACACAGTGTGATATTTTAGCTCCCTAAACTAATAACCTATTCCAAAGAATTATTACTGATGATGATAGCAATTCCAAGGCTTGGAGGAAAGCCTTTACAAACGGGAAATTTCATCATAATGGTGAAAACACGTTTTCTTTTTTCTTTTTTTTCAGCCCACGCTGTTATTATAAACAAGTATTTTCTTAATAAGTTCCTAAGCTGATAGAGGTAAAAACCTTGCAGAAGATACTCCTTGTTAAAGGGAGAAATTTGAAGAAACCCACTAATAGGTTGTTCCCTGATGGACGTGCTCTCGAGTTCTATGTTTATTGCTAATGTATTTTCGTTAAAACCGAAGTTAGGGGAGCAGCCATTATTTTTTTCACTTCACTTTAAAGTTCCTACGTGACCAGTGATCATTCTCCTGTTTCCTTAGCTGATTGCTAACTGTTCATTTAATATATCAAATATATCTGTAAAAAAATATTTGTGATGTTTTTATAGAATATAACAAACTATGATTAGCAATATTTTCCCCCCAGTACTTGATCACAGGAGCGACCTCTTGTGTTCAAAGGGGAGATTAGACCCTCTCCTGACAAAAAGGGACTTATTTTGACCTTTGCATATTCTGTTAGGTCAAAAATGTATCTTTCAGAACAGCAGTTGTGTGAATCCCCTGCTGTGAGCTCCTCTACTGATGAGAGAAGCAGCAGCATATTGGTAGTGACAAAGTATAGTCCCAATTACTTCCCCATCACCCCAATATACTTCACAGTGCCTTTGAATATAAAAAATATCCTGAGATTTAGTAAGTTTCTCTTGAGTCTGTGACATCGGCCCGTGTGCACTTGTATGCACTTTCCATAATACAGCTGTTACACGTGGGATCTTAAGCCCATGTGTCTGTGTGCTGTTGCTTTCTTTCTGTGGTTTAAAATTTAAGCATTCCACATCAAACTTAGTGCCAGATACAGAGTCCTGAACAAATATGTTCTCAGGCTACTTTTCAAAAATCTAAATAGGTTTTAATTGCAATTGAAAAGTGGCATTACACATTTAGAATGTATTTATTTCCCAAGAAGCTCTGACAGATATAAGTGAATTTTAAGTCAGTTCTTTGGGAAATTATGTACAGAAAGGGGAAAAAAGCTTTTTCCTTTTCCACTAACTAAGATTGGGAAGGAAAGGGATTGTTGATCAGCTTTCTCTGAACTATGGGTTTGTTTGGAAACTTATTCCCAGGAAGGTGAAGCTCTCTTTAGCCCACATCAGAATCAGGTTTGAAAGAGTAAAATAACAATTGGACTGCCAGTTTTTATGAGTAAGGTATTCAGATAGAAAAAAATAAATAGATATATAAATGACAGAAGGATTTATCTTTTGTGATATCCAAAAAACCTGCAATTTGAGCGTCAAGATGAAACATGAACACATTTTATTCACCTCAGAAAATAGGTATGGAATGTATGAATACACTCCATTCCCCTTCTCATTTTTACTTTTTCTGTGTAGTCTTAATCATGTAGAATAAGGGTATATAAACATCAGTATCTTAAATTATATCCAAGGGTCAGATAGAAAAATGTGCATTTAAAGGGAATAGTGGTTAACCATTTATATTCCATGCTGGAATTAGGGTGTGGGTGCTTAGAGCCAATTTGACCCTCTTCCAGTTGTTTTAGGTGGTGGTGTACCAAGGATGAAATCAAAAGAATCTGCACTCTAATTTCAGAGGAAAAGGGAAGAGATCTTTCTGTACCATGAGTTTGAAATGATTGTCTCTCTTTCCTTTAATTGTTCCTTAAAAAAACAAAAACAAAAAAAACAAGCAATGGTAATAATAAAGGCAGTTGTTAACAACAAACCTTCGGTTGTGATTCTCATTTTATTGAGGAGGACTCCTGCTGCGAATGTGGTTTTGTTGGTGTCAGTTGCTTTATTAACCAGTTGAAACAATCTGGGTGAAGGAGCAAGAATCTTCTGCAGGCTGAACTTCCTAGCCTGCGCTTCTGGCTGGGTTCAGGTAGCTGTTTATGTCACCAGTGTTCCCGATGTTCGTAGGCGGCAGCGCAGGAGGCAGCGTTCTTGTGCGGTCTGCTGCTCGATTCCCAGCCTGGATAGAATTCCACGCTCCGGGCAGCGGGGAAGCCACAAACCTCAGATCAGTCTTGAGAATGCCAGGTTCCGCTGTTCATTGCAAGGAGGAGTTCGACCAACCGAGGACAGAAATTTACACCATTTAAAATTGTGCCTCTGGAAATACAATGATCGCACAAAAGTGGCTGGCAGTGTGAGGTGAAATCTTTTTCTTCCCTTTCCTGGGGAGAGGGTGTTTTTGTTTTTGGAACTGTTCAGTGGCTAGGAACAGGTAATTTTTAACTGGACCAGAGTTCGGCTCAGAGCCCAGGTTGGAGCCAGTGAGTGCAATGTGCTGAGAGGTTCTGGCCCAAGGACTCACTGAAACCTACATCTTGCAAAGCTTTCATTAAATGTATCGGATTCTCGCGGGGGTAGTTGGGAGTCTGGAGAGGAGAACAAGCTTTATCTCCCAAGTCCTGGACGATTCTCTCAAAGCTGCCATATCTGCACTAGATCTAGCAAAACACCCACGGGCCCAC